CCAGCAGCGATCCAAGTGGACCACCCCTCATGAGAATTTGAAGACCGGAGACTTGGTGCTCATTCACTCCAATTCACCTCCACTCACCTGGCCTCTTGGACGCATCGTCTCCACTCACCCTGGCGCTGATGGAACAGTTCGAGTCGTCACAGTGAAGACAGCTTCTGGGACTTTCACACGGCCTGTTCACAAGGTCTTCCCTCTGCCATGCAATGAAGACTAAGTCCAAGAAACCTACTCTATGTACATATTAGATTTAAGTGTGGTTTACGTTTGCTCTTGTGTTTTTTAATTAATTGTCTGTTGAAGCTGTAATGCTTCAAGGGGGCCGGAATGTTCGGTATTCATATTTTTAGAGTATTTAGAAATTAATCATTATGTTAATTAAGTCACTGGTTAATTAATCATGCTAATGTGTATATAAATCACCACATTTATTGTAATATTATTTAGTCTCAGTAACAATTTATTGTAAATAGACTCCCGCTTTCAATATTCAAATGAGATTGCTAAGCCTGCTCGAATTTCCCGCCACAGTAAGGCCTATTTTCCTGTACTACATACCCATGAATCACCTGACGCCGTGTTTGCTTCAATCGCATTTCCTATTGGCCATCGAATTCCTAGACCCCTCTAAACCGCAATTGCATTTTTCAAAGTGTGAAGCCGGCGATCGGCGTCTGTCTGTCCACGGTCGGCGTCCATAACTCACGGTGTATTCCGTTTCTCGTATCTCGGGACATTAATTGCCCATTTTACCTCTCTTAAACGTATTTTTAGGCTATAGATTAATTATATCTGGCCTCCCTCTCCTCTATAGTACATTTAACTATATATACATTTTAATTTCCCCCTTTTGTTTGTGATTAAATTACTTAAATTGTGATCTAGTGCTTTCAGACTCTTCAAACCTCAAGACAGTGTGTGCGCGTCCGTGTATTACTTCTAGACTTTCCGTACGTTTTCACCGCGACTTCCGCGTATTAGTGAGCTCTTTGTGATTATGAACTTGGGTGCGTTGCGTTCTCCAAAATTCTACAAAACAGAAGCACTCGGTCTAAGGACTCCGCCATCCGCCATCGCTCCACCATAGACGACGCCGCTGCCATACTCTCCACCTTTGGATAATTGGACTCAAGGTACAACCTTAAAGTTTTGTGTGTGTTTTAATTAGACTCTAAAACTAATCTCATTTGCCCCTCACAAGACATTTTATTCCATCTCGGGACCTCAGTGCCCTTCAAATTGCAGATTCGCCATTTTCTCTAATTTAATTATTTTTCTCTTGAACTATTAATTAGTTCTGGTCCTTCGAGTTATTAATTATTTTCATTTTCACCCATTACGCCCCCAACAATAACATTAGGGTACAAATACTGTATTTCTTTACCTTTCATTGCACAGCCTTTTTTATGTTCATTCGAAAAATGTAGTAAGGATTGTGTAATCCGTTGAAACTCTGGGCAGTCAAAAGAGTGAAAATCGATAAACAACGCCACAAATTGAAATTTGAAATTTGAATGAAATTTGGATTTACTTTATTTTTATATTCTTTATTCTATATTATACATTATTATTATACTTTATTTTTATATCCATGCATCATTCTATCACTTTTAAAATGATTGTTGTGAAAGTGAACTATGCCAAAAATATCATTTCCTAAGGAAGTAATTTTGGTTGATCACAACGGAACCATTAACAATCCCAAATTTAATTCAATAATTTTTTGAAAATTTTATACAGATGTTGCATTGACTTGCGGCAAAAATTACGTATAAAATTATCAACAACTCGACGTACAATATTACTACATTAAAAATATTATTGATTTATTTTTTGCAATTCTATAACCACTACTTGTTGGAGATTAGGAATTTATTTTGAAGTTTATGTTTTAGGTGTTTGAATAATGCCCGTTTGATATTTCAAACAGGGAAAGGGATTCGGAAATGAGGTTAGAGCCGGGAGTTAACTCAGTTTCGCAGGACATCAAACGCATAAGGTTACCACAACATGCCACGTGCCGTGCCCAACTTCAGTAAAGTCTGCCTCAATACCTGCTGCGTGGAATACTGGTTGGATAATGAATCGTTAAAATATAAAGGTGAAACCAACTTGGTGTAATTATGAAAGTATTTAACTGGAATGTAAACACATCTTTAACTTGTTCAAATTAATAGTAAGTATTTTCCTATCCATCGTGCTGTGCCACAAGTGCTAATAGTGGATGTTCTACAATAGTTTCTTATTGTATTGTTTTATTTAAATTGTAATGGTAAAAATAGTAACTCCACAAACATTAATAGCCAAGCTGCAACGAATTGGGTACTTAATATAACACAATCTAAAAAAAGGTTGTACGCAACTTTCTGGACACCTTTATGGATTTATTTTTTACGTCGATAAATTACCAGGATGGTTGTATTGGGTAAATAATTTTTTAACTGTTTTTATGACACATACTAACACGTATGATAAGGATACTAGTGGACACGCATGAAATTAATTCATTAAGTTTATCGAAAATACTATTGTGATTTCCTTCAATAAATAATTGTACTATATCATAGTTTCATATGATTTTATAATGAGTTGCATACAACAAAACGTTTTATAAATGCGAAATAACATATTTTGCCTACAGTTACCTAACAATGTACATGTTCTCTCACTGATTTGAGAAAGCAAAGTGGCCAATTCGCTCATCAGTGAGACAATGTTAACATTGTCTCACTCTAATTACTTGGTCTCACTCCAGATTTGCAACGTGAAGGCACGAAATAGTGAGCGCGTAACATGCAGGCAACGTCGTATGCGCGCGAAATACGTTGGCAGCACTGGCTGTAAATCAGCTGGTCAGCTGTTGTACTGTTGTATTTGTCACTTCACATTAAATGTTATATTAAAAGTTCACTTCTGTGTAAAAATAGGTTATGTTTCTTCACCAATTTATTTGTTTTATGGTAACTGTAGGAAAAGTATAATGTGCAACTCGAGTCCAAAGTACAATTGCCTCACTCGAGAAACCATTCCTCACTCGCCTACGGCTCGTGAGTAAGGATTTCTCTCGAGTGAGTCAATTGCTCACTTTTCTCACTAGTTGCATAAATAACTATTCACAGTATTAAGGATACAGTTAAAGAATGGAATTGGTGCAAATAATTTAACCAGATATGAAAACAATTTAATAATAGTTTAATTACATTTTTCTTAAAACCTTACTTATAAGATTTGAAGCTATGTATTAATATTCCTGGTACGTATTATTTTTTCACGATTTTTCTTTAAATTCCAGAAATTATAATTGAATAAAATTTAACAACTATTTTTGCTCTTACAACGAAATTCAACCCATTATCCGCTTACTATTTAAACTGCCACATTCATCCCAATAAGTTAATAAAAACCCCCATCTACGTTCCATCTAGATAATAAAAACTTCGACAGCTAGCAATCCAATGATAAAACGAATAGTTGTTAGAAAGAGCAGTAAGGTATTAGGGCAAAGTAAACACAGCATTATTGTCCCTCAAGAGTAATAATAGCTGTACGGAGCAAAAGCTGGCGTAAGTTATTTTGCGATTAAACATCTTGCATTCAAGTTTTGATAAAGCTGTTATGTTAACGAGGAAATTAAACATTAATTGTAAGGAATGCATTTTACAATTTTTAAATCTAAAGTGTTGTTGAAGTAGTTCTTACTTAAAGGAAAGTTCGTACATGTACGGTGATTCGTTCAAATAGAGAAAAATATGAATTTAAAATTTAATTTTCAGTCATATAAAATTTAGAAACATAACTAACTGTTGTTTTCTTTTGAAAAACAAATTGTCTTACTGCATACTTCAATTGATTCCAAATTTATTTCATCCCGTTCAGTTTTAGCGAATTTCCTACATAGGGAATAAGCTATTACAGTAGAACTCATGGTAAGACCTGGACGGATTTACTTTTCGTTTTGAGGTCACCAGAGGCCCAAAACACCCTCCGTTCGAATTCATATGTATATATATATATATATATATATATATATATATATGTATATATATATGAATAGGTTATATATATATACAGGGTTAATAAAAAGTCTGGGTACCCCCTGTCAATTTTTTAACAGCCCATACTAGAAAAACTGAACTCTGCACAGCTTTATGGCATGTTATAAAGTACTTTTTGGGCATAATCGCCACTTCGTGTACATCCCCAAATGGGGGATTTCGGGGGAAACTTAAACATTTCAAACGGGAAGACTCACCGAGTGACCCCTCATTTTGAAGGTCCTCATAAAAGAAAACCGACAACGCAGAGATAGGGTAGGGGTCTCTAACTCAACCCAGTAAAAAATGGCAGTCAATTGAAATTCTCAGAAGTGAAATTTAACTTACAGCTTTCCAAGTCTGGAGACCCCCTAAAAAATTTTTAAAGGCTAACACTAGAAAAGCTAAACTCTGTACACCTTTATGGCATGTTATGAAGTATTTTTTGAGCATAATTACTACTTGGTTCGCAAATCCAAAATAGGGGATTTTAGGGGAAACTCAAAAATTTGAAAAGTTAAGCCCCATCGAGTGACCCCTCATTTTGAGGGTCGTGATAAAAGAAAACTATTATTGGTGTTTATAATTATTGACAATTTTAGTTGCAGCAAGGCCGACATGTTCCTTAGACACAGCTGTTAATTAATAGCCCATACAGCCAATGGAGTTGCCACGGGACCTACAGTTTATAATAACAACCTAAAGAGGAACAGAGGATGTATCTTATTGCGTTATGATGTAATTATATGAGTTGTAAATTGAAAATTTCTTATCAGTAGCGTTTGCTCTTTGGAATTTTTTAGATGCAAGAACAGATTTGCAAGGAAAAGGATAGTAGGCCTACTGTTTGTTTAGTCATTGAAACATTTCACGGAGGTTCCTATTTTTTGAGTGTTACTCCGCGTCTAAATGGTAATATTAATCTAGTTGGTTACTAGCTATCTACCTAACTGCATAACGAGCAAAATGGCTAGGGCTGAAACAAGATAATTTAACATACAAGTTATGATGACATATTTATCTAATCGAAGAATATTTCATACATAAAGTAGTACAGCGTTACTATATTACGCTACATGTTTTTGTTTTGATTTTTGTCCTTTTCTTCCTTCGTCTTGTCATTTTCTTCATTCGCCTTGTTCTTTTCTTCATTCGCATTGCCCTTTTCTTCATTTGCCTTGTCCTTTTCTTCATTCGCAATGTCCTTCATGTCTGAATCTGCTTTCCCAATCGATTCCCTAAGTTCAGAAACCGATTTCCCACCTGTTTCCTTGAGACTCATCCTATGGACTAGCAATGCGCCAGAGGTAGCTCCAGCAGTAAGCAGTCCGTGAACAGTTGTTTGGCCCTTACGTGGATTAATTATTTTGGCTAACTTTTCTCCTACCCTGGCATCGGTAACTGCCTTTTTTAATGGCTTGTAGAATCCCCGATCCCCACCGTCTGTAGTTGGAGCAGGTTTGGCAACTTTCCCGAGAGAGTAATGGACCATGAATACGAGCAGAGCTACTCGAACCTGAAACATGCAGAGTGAGTCCACAAGAGAATCAGTGAGATTTAAATTTGGAGAAATAGCCTCTGGATCGTTATTAAACATTTTTATAATCTAAGGGGTTTCCTTACGATCCAATTGATTTATTGTGGAGACCTAGGTTTCTACGCCGGAGCGTAATCGTCAGTCCTAGGTTAAGCTACAGTTTTTGTTTTTCATCTCTTACATGAGATATTGTCGTTTGGATAGAATTTGAAAATACCCTCGCCACAGAAAACCTTCAGACTAAGCGAGTTTCCATTTACCTGGCTGGATTTCTACTAAAATATTCCCTGAAAATTGTCAGCTTTATTTTCTACTAGCAGAGTACCCGTCCTTCGTACGGGGTTGGAATATAAGTATAAAATGCTTATTGCAGTTATACTCAAGCTTTGCGTATGCAATAAGGGAAGACACAGTTTGATAAAATTTGCTTTTTTAAATTTACAGTATTCTATAGTATTACACATCTACCATAGCCATAATGTTCTACCACATCACCTAAACAATAGAGAAAAATAAATTATCAACAATTCGCAAAATATCACAAATTATTCATGAAATGAAAAACATAAACATAGCCTAACTGTAAACAATCCTACTTTGACAGTTCTCATTGCGAATCACAGTTTTTTGTTGCTGCTTAGTTCAAATTAGCTGTTTTCATAAATACAAAAAATATAGTGCTGCACTCTGTTGGTAAATCTTATAGTTTTTTAATGCTTTTCCATATCATAGAACCAACTTTTTTGGTTGAAACAGCTGACTAAATTCTTTAATTCCCTTTAAATATAAATACTCATAAGGTTAACCTGGGGAATTACAAAGCCAATGGGGCGGAGCCCGAAAGGATTTTGAGATAAGAATATGCCTATATGTTAATCGGGAATGTAAGCTATCATCATGCCAAATTTCAGCCCAATCCATCCAGTGGTTTATGCGTGATTGAACTTCAAACACACAAACAAACAAACAAACAAACACACAAACTTTCACATTTATAATATTAGTTTCCTATTAAAATAAATTTAATTTAAATGAGTACCTAGGTTCGCTGCTACAGGGAAGTTATTGAGGTGATTTTTTATTAAAATGTTAATAGCTTTGTATGAAATAAACAAAATTGCCATATTTGATTAAAATATATCCATAAATAAGCAAAATACAACAGTTTGTTTATTCTCCATAAGAATAACATGGAAATTTTAAATTTAGAGTTTTTTTAAATTTAATTATCTCCGTAACCGTTAGGCATACAACAACGCTTCAAGATACAAAATTATTAATTTTTTTAGCTCTACAAAATGGTCTGTAAAGAAATTGAAAAATTTTATGTTTTTAGAGTCAAAAATGGGAAAACCCCTATTTTTACCCCATAAAACCCCCATAAACCCCCTTTCCCATAGTCCGATCATGCTGGTTCGCGAACTCGTTCGAATAAACGTAGGTTTACACGTTTCTACCAAATTTAATTAAAAAATCGGATCATTTTACACACATATATATATATATATATTTATATATAATATTTAACATATCCGTACATTTTCTAAGATACAGCAAACACATACTTACAATCGAATAGCCTTTCATGTTGATAAAGAGTAAAAAAATAACTTCACAAAATAAAATGGAACGTGTAGAGCTCGGTGTCTGTGGTAAAATGCACCAGTTTCACAACAGCTGTCATTTAATTGATTGGTAATGACTGTGAAACTTCAATCAAATAAATCATCATTACTTATTGACAGGTTTACGTTGGTTACTGCGTGGATAGTTTTACGTAACTATCCTATAATACTGAACTTTGGCTTACCAGGGCTTGACAATCTATATAAATAAAATTAGAGTTTTGTCTGTACATTGCCTAGAATCAAATTTTTTAAAGTTATTTTTATGTTTTATACATTAAAGAAGCCATAACAAGTCTCATCTAAATTTCTGTCTGTCTGTCTGTCTGTAACACTCGAGATGGCATTTTACGCAATCGATCTTCTCCAGGAAACGAGAGTTCCTATCAAGATCCAAGCGATTTTAATGTATTCACTGGATTGACGGGAGTTTTTTTAGCCATTAAAATATGGCCTCAATACTTTGTAAATAAAATTACAGATGTTCAAAAATTTGTGCGATTTTTTTCAAGTTTTCGTCCAATTTTTATCACATAATCATCTATGAAATAACGAACAGCTGTTCGGATCAAGATTATTTTTTCTAGCTGTCACTTGATATGTTTACAAATGTTGTTTACAAATACCGCAACCATTTCCGATCACGTTTTGAAGGCAAATCCCATCCAAGTGAGATTAAAAACGTTTTTCTTACATAAAGGATTTAATTAATCGCAAATGGAATAATATAGAGTAACCGTAAATTAAATTAAATAACTAGGCATCATTCAGGTCAGAAACCAGAGATTCTTTGTGTTTAAAATTGTTCTGGAGTTTTGATAACCAGAAAGAAGACATTGACTCAGTGTTGTAAATATAAGGCTGGGAAACTTCAATTTATTAATGATCGTCGCCAATGGCTTAGAAACAAGGCCCCACTCATTGACGGCTCTTCAATGGCGGTTTTGTAAAGTGTAAAGTAAAAAATCACATCTGCAGTGGGTGATTGTTAGAGTTTTACGGATGATGCTAAACTCTATTTTCCAATGTGTCACGTTCTTTTCTTACCATTGACTATATATAGTCAATAGTTCCTACTCACCGTGTGATACAATCGCTGGACCATACAGCCAATAGGCCCATAGCCCATCTCTTGGGTACGTACGCTTACCCAATTATTTATAACAACCTTTTCGACGAAGATCCTTGATACCGGTACTTTTCCCTAGAATACACGGCCTACCTAGGTACTTAAGAAATAAAATTACAAACTTCCAAAAACCCAACGTTGTGTGATTTTTGTCACATTCCCTTTTAATGTTAATCGATGTACCAATCATTGTTTAGTGAATACGTAATCTATTAAATAACAGAAAGTTGTTGTATGATATTTTTTTTTTTTAACTGACACTGATAAGTTTATTAAGAGTTGTTTACAAATAAAGCAATTAATGGGAAATAACTTTGATTGCCGATAACTTTTTACGAGAAAATCCAAAACCAAGAGATCAATAACCTTGATTAACGCATATACTTGGTCGGATGTACTATAGTTCTTAACTGTAAACGTTGGTTTTTGGTACGGTACTGGTTATTTTCCTTTGAACCGTTGGTAGCAGCAAGAATCATTTTTACGTACCAACACATCACTGTATTAACAAATTAGTTATCGTTGGTGTTGCACCTTATTTATTACAGGCGTATTCAATTTAATTGATGTCTTAACTGTACAAGTTTTGCTTTATCTGTCTGGATTCCAAAATGTTAGTTTATGCTAAGAAAACGATAACGCATTTTAGTAAAACATTCAGCAAACCATCATGAATTGTTCAAACGCTTTGAACGTTGTTTATGTATCAATAGTTCGTGGCCTATTTTGGTAAATTTTATTATAAATTACCAATCTAAATCGTCTATAGATTTACTGAACCTACTTCATTTCATATAGCAAACCGATTCATATACCATATCGACAGAATTTCGGGTCATATTCGGTCCAAGCAAATTTAAATTGTTATGATAAAATTTTATGACATTAACAAAGATTTCAAATACTAATTTTGTATGTACTTTGTTATGCTTAAAGCGTGGCAAATTCCCTAATTAAGTTCTGTATTTTTGTGTGTATGTCTGTTGGTAACGCATTAATGTCCTTATTTCTCAGTGTTTCACGGAATGGACAAGAGCACCTGTGATAATGAAATGTCAACCGGAATAAAGTGTTAGATGGTGAGGTTGAGGTAGTACCTTAAATACTTTTAACCATTGTGAAAAGTAACTTTCAATTATAGGCCTACCTTAGGGCTATGCCTCATGGATCTATAAAGCATTTTTTAGTTCAATCATTGGATTTAATATATGTATTACATACCATACATACCATAAGAGAAAAAAAATCAAACTATTATTTAGATGTATCATGAATTCATTAATATAGTTAATAGTGTCGAATGATAAATAAATAATCTTTTAGTAGACAAATGTAGGTAAACTAAGATATGTTTAGTAAATCACTCATTATTTTAATATGAAAATACTCTCTTACTAAAATTTGTTTAGGCACCTCAGGTACAGCAACGAACAAAGCATCCTTTTCTCACATAAGTATTTGTACTTTTATTAATTTTGGAAAAGTGATATATATCTTCACTAAAATACTTAGGACAATTCATAAATTAATTAGGTTATAGAAGAACTCAATAACTAATTTTATTACATTTGTATAAAAACTAGTAGATTGTTGATCAGAAGAAGAAAACTTTATAAAAACTATGAATATAAGAATATGTCTTTATCTCTACCAAGACTGTCTCAAGGGGTTGGCTGCAATAAAGCTTAATCCAACCCTTGTTGGAACTAATCTCATTTCATTACAGACACACTCTTTCAATTCCCTCAGTAAACATGATAAATATAATTTGAAATTCATGTCAGAACACGTTTATCGTCATTCCTTTAGCAAGGCTGTATCAGCACGAGTATAACATCCTTACCGTTGTTATAACTTTTCTTCTGTATTATAACAGTTTGCTGGAGAATATGGTTACTTAATAAACGAACGACCAAGGTGTAATCAATTACACGTTTTCAATTTTATAAACAAAGCCTTTTCAATAAGATTTTATTGTTTGTTGTTTACATAGAGTTAAAAGAAACATAATAGATTAGTAAAATAATCAAATTAACATACAAAATGACCATTATAAAATATATGATATCATTGAACTTATCTTCTTTCAAAAGAACATTTAAAAATGTATAAATTGTATTGAAGACAATGATTTTACATCTCTAGTATTTCCTAGAGGCTACCTATAATGTGTCTAGTAGGAGAAAATCATTTAGTTTTCCTATGAAAATACTGTTGACAACTGT